ATTTCTGGCCAGAAATATTCTTTGTAATACAAAGATATTCCACGTTCATTTCATCTATTGTCTAAGCATGATACCTATTTTGGCGGATATCTATAAAACTCAACAAGTTTCTTCGGGACTTGGAGGAGAANTTAAATGCGTGAAGTCTAAATTATCTTCAGAAATAAAATTTGCTTCAGCATTTTTCTCTGCTTCTTTAGGGAGGCTTGATACAGCTCAACCAGGTGCTTTGGCGTACGACATGTACGTGACTAGTGTCCTTTTCCTCCACATCTATAGCATGCATTTTCTGGCTTTGCTGCTTGCACCGCTTCATTCTTTTGTTCCTTCCTTTTCCACTGCTGGTGGTGAGGAGTGTTCTTTGGTGCATTATTATTACCACGATTAGAGTTTTCTCCCCGACCACGACCATGACCACGACCGGGGCCACATCCTCTTTCACGCTTAGCTTGGTGGAAGTTCGTCTCATTCACTTCAGGGAATGGACAAGAACCAGTAGGTCGGCTCATTAATAGCCCATTATGTTTTTCGGTTACAAGAAGATGTGAGATAAGTTCAAAATACTTTTTGAATCCCATCTCTCTATATTGTTGCTGCAGGAGCATATTTGAGGCATGAAAAGTGGTGAAATTTTTTTGCAACATATCATGATCAGTAATATTATCACCACATAGTTTCAATTGGAAAATAATTCTAAACATAGCAGAATTATACTCACTGATAGATTTAAAATCTTGTAACCTTAGATGAGTCCAATCATAACGTGCCTGTGGAAGAACGACCATCTTCAGGTGGTCATATCTATCTTTCATATTATTCCACAGTATGACTGGATCTTTAACAGTAAGATATTCTATATTCAGGCCCTCATCTAGGTGATGGCGTAGGAATATCATTGCTTTGGCACAATCTTGGTTTGATGCCTGATTTTTATCTTTGATGGTGTCTGCCAGACCCATCACATCAAGATGAATTTCGGCATCAAGCACCCAAGACATGTAGCTTTTGCCCGATATATCCAGGACTACAAACTCAAGTTTATAAAGATTTGATATTATTTAGAAAAAGAAAGTTCGTACCTCTGATACTTTCAAAGTATTTTCTCGAGATGGCAGAGTCTCGTGCTGATAACGTGTTAAAAAATAAAGACTATAAAGTAAAGACTGTTATAAAATAAAAACTATAAAGTAAAAACAAGTATATGGAGAAACTGATATATTATTTAAACTTCAAAGTTATGTACATAATGAACTGAAAACTCCTCTATTTATAGAAGAAAGGAAGCAACTGCGAGGCTTTTCAGGAAGCAGCTGCAAGGCTTTTCTTTAGCTGCTTGTAAGCTGTCTGCATGAGCTGCTTGCAACCTGCTTGTTTAATAAGAAGTTGTTGCAAATTATTTCATTGAGCTGCTTGCAACCTACCTGTTTAATAGCTGATTGTAGATAAACTTCAACAGAGTACTAAATGGATAATTTTCTTCAGAAAAATTATCTACAGCTAAGTAATAAATTGACTTCTACAATAATTATTTTCATAACAAATTTGAGTCTTTTTACTAATATGTTTTTTTGGGCCACAATCCGTCGTACAAGCATTATAAAAAATTGTCTGCTATAGACTCAAAGGTAAAAAATGATCTCTCGTCTTTCAATTTATTCTTCTTCTTGCCGCGTGTCTCTTCGTCAATATCGTTAGTGCTACTCAACAGGCCTTTCTTTATCATCAAAATAAACTGGATTTCTCTATGGTTGAGAGAGTGAGTAACTTCAATTTTGCAAACAGAGTTAGGTATGATCTGAGAAGCTGCTCCACTTACAATGTTTAAGGCAAGGGAAATAGCCTTCTCATTATGGCAAATGTGACTAGGGATTAAGGGGGTGTAGATTGCTCGAATTGGACTGATTAAGAGAGCATACGCAAAAATAACCACATTACTTCCGGTCAAAGTATTTTTAAAGTGTGCACTTAAGGATGTGGCTTAGCATCAATTAAGTAAATGAAAATCATGAAAGATCTGCCTACGAGGTAGCAGTAAATTCTCGAACCTCTTCTTGACATAGATTAAACAAGATATAATTTACAAAGCCAGGATTTATCTCCATGCCTTCGCTTAATAAATGCTCAAATCATCATTGAGAGAAGAGCACCTTTAGCAAATAAACTACGAATCTAAGTGCAGTAGATAAAAAAAAGGTTCTTCTGTTTTGCCGCTATAGTATTTTCAAAGCAGTTTGCAGCTCAAACTAATAAAGTTTGTCCTAAAATTTGACCTTTTATCACCTAGAATTGGTGCACGAGAGTTAAAGAGGTCAACTTTTTAGGACTAAACAGTCAAAATAAGAAACTTACGGACTAAAATACCATTTTAATCTATTAGTTACTCATCATAGATAAATAGGAGTAATAACATTAGCATTATCCTACGTATGTTGTCTTGTCTGATATCTGAGCCCTTCGTTTGTTCCCTCCAATGACCAGCGCTTGCAGCAACAACCCCCTCATCTCCTCTTCCTTCCTTCTCCATTCTCTCAAATCTCCAAATGTATCCATTTTCTTCCCCAAATTCTCCAACCCAATTTCATCAATTCCCTACATTCAAATGAACTCCAACAACAAATCACCTATAGGAAATTCCAAGAATCCCACACAAAGAAGAAGTAAAAGTCCAGGAAAATACAAACCCAGATATGGAACTTCAAGGAAATCAACTCTGAAGAAAAGTTTGAGTCAAGAACAAGTTAATTTCACTAAACCAATTCCTGAAGATCCTGTGGTTGGTATTATTGGAGGTGGCATGTCTGGCCTTGCCTGTGCTCTTTACTTGGAGAAAAGGGGCATTCGCTCCACTGTTTTTGACACGGTTCGTTATGCCCTTTCCCCTTTTTACTATTTTTCTATTTGGGTTAGAATAAGAAGCTGTTCTGTTAAAATAACTAATTTATTCTCTTGAAAGGACGCTTTCATATAGTACTAACTCTATCTCGGTTTAGTTTTTCCATTTCGTTTTAACACGACCATGAAGGTAATAGTTGAAGTTTTTAGCTGTATTGAAATGAAATTGAATCCAAAACTAGCATAAAGTTGTCTTCTTTAAGTAATTTGAAAAGAAAAAAAAAGATTACTTTATAAGTACTTTTAAATAGGAAATTGCCAAAAAAAAGACAAATGTAGTGAGAAGTGTACTTAATTGAATTGAATCCGAAGATTTGGTTGTCCACTACCTAATGTTTTTATGCACTTGAATTTTGAACATTAAGACAAACTACAGCTGGCAAGCATTTGTTTTCAACAGTTTTTCATCAAAAATTTACTATCTTAGCCATTTCTTTTTCTCTAAATGTGTATGGCAAAATTTTACTTGTTACTCTGTCCAACATGGCATAATCCTCAAGCAGAAGATTTTAGCGGTTGCTATTGGGAAATTGTTTCTTATCGGTGAAGTCTAAATTTAGTGCCGTCCAGTTGATTATCTTTATCTTTGACAGTTTTTGTTAGAGTTATATAATGAGGCACAATAGAAGAATGCATCTGGTGTATCTTATTATGTTCGGTTGCTTTAGGGAATACATGGGTTGGGAGGAAGAATGGGAACGAGAATGATTGATCATCAGCCTTTGATATTTGACCATGCAGCTCAGTTCTTCACGGTGACCAACCCGAAATTTGTCGAGCTAGTTGATGACTGGTTGAAGAGGGGTTTGGTTCGGGAATGGCAGGGTACAATTGGCGAGCTTGAACTTGGTGGGCATTTTGTTCCATTTCCTTCTTCGCCTCCCAAATATATAGGGGTCAATGGAATGCGCCCACTTGCGGATTCATTACTATCTCAGGTGCACAACCTTTTGTGTTATATACTAAATATCTTTCTTCACATAATGCATCCATTCAACTAAGCCAATCATTCCCTTCAGTTCTGTTTGTTGAGAATGCATGCTTTGTATGAATAATGGAAGGAGAATAATGTACTTATTCTTTTGGGTGCTATTTCCTCTCAATNCTTTTGTGTTATACTAAATATTTTTCTTCACATAATGCATCCATTCAACTAAGCCAAACATTCCCTTCAGTTCTGTTTGTTGAGAATGCATGCTTTGTATGAATAATGGACAGAGAAAAAATGTATTCATTCTTTTGGGTGCTATTTCCTCTCAATGTTATAAAAGTTTGATGTGTTTGGGCAGACTTCTTTGGTCAATGTGGTACGCCCTTGTTGGGTAAGTACACTTGAACCATTTAACGGGACGTGGCACTTGAGTGAGAAGGAAAAGCCTTGTGGGCAGTTTGATGCAATTGTCATTGCACATAATGGTAATTATTTTCAATTTTCTAGTAGTTTTGCCTTTTTGATAGTCTTTTCTTTTGCAAGAATTAGCAAATTTCTAATATGCTAAATCAAACCCTCATTTAGTTTATCTCTTTCATTTCTTCTGTCTAAGAGCACAAAAGTGAGGTGGTGGTGAAAGACAAAATGCTCCTATTTCCTGCCCTATATTTCATAGCCTTCCCTCCTCATTGCTATGGTTAGGAGTTGTTGAAGTAAACCAATTTGTTCTCGTCCACAATAAAATTATTTTACTTCTTATCACTATATTATGTGTGTTTTCGGGTTTTCAACTTATATGTAATAGAAAANTTTTTTTTTTGGTGATCAAGTAAATTAATCTTCCTGTTTCATTGAAAATAAATGATATGAGGTTTTACTCATATTGTGTCAGAGGAATACATATGTCATCATGATGTCGTAATCAATGAGGAGTGGAGGCATTCTTAGATTGTTTCCATTATACAATAAAAAGTAGAAGTATAGATATCTTAAAAGGTCTGTGTGTAAGTTCTAGGTGTTTAACTTGAGAAAAAAGGTGACCGGCCGGTTTTCAATCCGGGTCGGTTACCGGTTTTTTCAAACCGGGCTTAACGGGTCCGGGTTCATCTAGGTAAAAATGAACCGGAAGGGTTACGGGTCCAAGGGGCACTTGAGTGAGAAGGAAAAGCCTTGTGGGCAGTTTGATGCAATTGTCATTGCACATAATGGTAATTATTTTCAATTTTCTAGTAGTTTTGCCTTTTTGATAGTCTTTTCTTTTGCAAGAATTAGCGAATTTTTAATATGCTAAATCAAACCCTCATTTAGTTTATCTCTTTCATTTCTTCTGTCTAAGGGCACAATAGTGAGGTGGTGGTGAAAGACAAAATGCTCCTATTTCCTGTCCTATATTTCATAGCCTTCCCTCCTCATTGCTATGGTCAGGAGTTGTTGAAGTAAACCAATTTGTTCTCGTCCACAATAAAATTATTTTACTTCTTATCACTATATTATGTGTGTTTTCGGGTTTTCAACTTATATGTAATAGAAAACCAGAAAACTGTCTCCCTGTTTTTTTTTTTTTTTTTTTTTGGTGATCAAGTAAATTAATCTTCCTGTTTCATTGAAAATAAATGATATGAGGTTTTACTCATATTGTGTCAGAGGAATACATATGTCATCATGATGTCGTAATCAATGAGGAGTGGAGGCATTCTTAGATTGTTTCCATTATACAATAAAAAGTAGAAGTATAGATATCTTAAAAGGTTTGTGTGTAAGTTCTAGGTGTTTAACTTGAGAAAAAAGGTGACCGGCCGGTTTCCAATCCGGGTCGGTTACCGATTTTTTCAAACCGGGCTTAACGGGTCCGGGTTCATCTAGGTAAACAATGAACCGGAAGGGTTACGGGTCCAAGGGGCACTTGAGTGAGAAGGAAAAGCCTTGTGGGCA